TCAAAAGGGAAGGGCTGAACTAATTCCCTGGTTGCAGGGAGAGCCTTGGGCAGAAATCACCGGCTGGCTGAGGTTCTTTGGGGTTTTCTCCAATCTCCAAGAAGAAAAAACGAGCTCCCTCTGTGTTTTGCGTATTCCAAGCCTAAACAAACAATTCCTCCCTCCTTCCTGCATATTCATTTCTTGTATTCATACCCACAACCAAAAATAGGTTTCAGAGCGACAAGTAATACAGATGAACCATGATTACAGTATAACAAAAACCTAAGCATATCACGTTTGGGCCTATCAACAAAGTGGGCAGAAGCAACAGACACCGTTTTCTGCCCAAATCTGTCTCCTTCACTCAACAGTGGAAAAAAGCTTCTGGTGCCAGAGGCCGAATTTGGCCCCGAGAGGGACGGGAACCGGCCTCTTGGCATCCGGGGACAAAAGATGCCTGTGTGAAAGATCTGCTGAGCCTGAAGGACGCGCCTCACCGGAAGAGCGACTCCTGGGGAGATTCTGTGACTGTTCCAGGTGGTCTCTGACTTGTGACTGTCATTGAGCCCAGAATTACAGTCCTGGGTTTGTCCCAATCATTATGGCTCCAGCCTGATTTTGCAGCCTTTTTTGTAAACACTGCAGTTGTTAAGCAAACCAGTGGTTCATATTGGGCTGGTTTTGCCTGAAATGGAAAATAAACACCTGTTTCCAGCAAAAAGTATTGCAAATTGTGACTCTGGGATGCTGCAAACAGCTGTAAATGTGGGCTGGTTGCCCAATGCCCAAAATGCAGTCACAGGCGTGGGGTGGGGTGGGGCAGTCATCAGAATTTTGAATTTGGGCTGTAAACAGCCCTGGAGAAGCCTGTCATAACTTTGAACAGCTGCTAAACAACTAGTCATAAGTTGAGGACCACCTGCAGTTTCCAACAGAATCTGTTGCAAGTCCTCCTTGTTCACTTTAACAAGATTGAGCCAAATGAGCACACAAAGATAAACCACTTTGAGTTCCTCCATTTTGGCAACCTTAACACAGGTGGACTTCAACTCCCAGAGTTGCTGGCTGGGGAATCCTGGGAATTGAAGTCCCACCTGTGTTAAAGTTGCCAAGGTTGCAAATGCTTCTTCTGGGTGCCTTCCAAAGCCTTTGGAAGACGAGAACTGCCACTCAGGCCAGTAGGTGTTCATCTTGAAGGTTTTGCAGCTGAAGGGATTATTGCTTTGCATTGCAGACGACCTGCCACGGATGAGGTTCAAGTGCCCCTTCTGCACCCACGTGGTTAAACGGAAAGCAGACCTGAAGCGACACCTTCGCTGCCACACAGGAGAGCGGCCGTATCCATGCGAAGCCTGCGGGAAAAGATTCAGTCGGCTGGACCACTTGAGCAGCCACTTTCGGACGGTAACCTTACTTTTTTTTTTAATGTTTTGCTTTAAGTTGGTACCTACACACACACACACACACACACACACACACACTAGGAATTCTGGGAATTGTAGTGAAACATCTGGAAACGCCAGGTGGGCAAAGCATATGTTCTCAAGGCAAAGTCTGCCTCCTACTGAATTCAAGGGCGCTTCGAGGCCCTTTTCCTGTCATCCATGTTTTCTGAATTTCCTGTTCACAAATGAAGTGCAGATGTTGGCAATTGCCTCTTTTGGTATCTGCTTGAAGCAACCCCCCCCCCCTTATTAAGTTTTGTTGAAAAGATGAAGTATAAATGAAAAAGCATTTTCCTTCAATATACTTGTATTACCGTGGGTTCTTACCACAACCAAGACCAAATAAACTGAAATGTTACATCAGCTATGAAGATCCTGGAACAAATCTTCACCCAGGCACTGATAAAGCATACCACCTGATAGGCAGACTCATATATCCATTAAGAATCTAAAAGTAAGGAAAATAGTGTTAATACTGTAAATCATGTTTTATTTCACTGTTGCTTTTATTTGTTTCCCATGTTATAAGGAAACTTTTGTAGTAGGTCCACATTTTAAAATGCTATTGTGTCCTCTAATTTTCAAAAAGTCAAGAAGCCGAGATTAGTTAATGTGGGGGGAGAGAGAATCAAATATATTCAAGATGGCAGCCATGATTTTGTGAGGTAATCCATTGTACAACACAGGGGAAGGACCCTACTGGCATAACAGCCGGTTCAGTGAGTGTGCGCTTTGCTTCTGACTGAGCTTGGCATGGTCTGGGGGATAGGAAAAATGTTCTTGATGCTAGGTTGCTCGGATGGATGTCTTGGAGCCTGGAAAAGGGAGGAGCGTTTTGCAAAACACGACCAGACCAAAACTTTGCACATTCTTATCAGGGAAGCAAGCAACAACCTCTGGGCTTTTCAAGAGTGGTGAATCCTTGCCCTGATTAACATCGATTAAAGAAGCACTGAAATATAATTCTCCAATTTCCAAGAGTCTATAAACTCCCCTCTATCAATAAACATGGCAAATAAAAAAAATACGAGAATGTAGCATTCTTGGATGTGAATGGCCGGACTGCTGTTCATTCGGCATCTGCCTGTCATTCGCATCAGACACCCTCCCTCTCTTCGTGGTGAGGTCTTGATCTGACTGGAGGCTTCTGTTGTGGTTCACCAGCAGCCGGCAGCGGAGTCGGACAGTGAGGATGAAAGGGGACCAGTCAGGGAGTCTGGAGAGGACTCGGACGAGGGTCCTGCATCCGATGCAGGGATGGGGCCAGGACCATCTGGGAGTGAGGTGCTCCAGAGCCTCGGAGCCTCCAGAGCCTCTGGAGTCTGGCAGAAGCAAGGCAGAGGAACCAGGGGAGCCTGTTCCCGGTGCGCGTGTGCGCAGAGCTGCTAGGAGGCAAGAGCAGCTGAAGCAGAAGGGGCGACTCGGGAGTAAGGCTGGGAGGTGATAAAAGTCAGACCTCAATGACAAAACCTTCGCAGGAAGCAAAGTCGTTCGATAGATTCCGAGTCCTTTTTGAAGCTCTGGTTGGTTTTTTCTTTTACTTTGGTGGGTTTCTGTTATAATTGGAGACTTCTGCTTGGGGCAGCATTCCACAGCATTGAAAGGCATGTGCTGATCTGGGGGAATTGTTTATAATTAGTTCTGGCTGAGAATGAAACTAATTCCCAGTGTTGCAATAAAATAGGTTTTGCTTTTCAAACAGGGTTGTGTTTAAGTACGTTTGACGAAGCTTGAGTCAGGACAGCTTCTGGGGCTGAGGCAAGATTGGCTTTGGCATTGCAGAGGAGCCTCTGCTCAGCATGAGGGACTTTGGCCAAGAGAAGCTGCTGGCAGACAATGAGCAGAGAGGCCGGGGGTTGACCGCGAGAGCCGCCTCTCCTTCCCAACAAGATGGAATTGGCTTTCCCCAACATGCTAACCAAGTTCTGCAGTGTCTACATTCCAACAGTATGTTAACTCTTTTAACCTGGTGGCTTTCTGAGTGGCTTAGGGTTTTGTGCAAAGCCAAATCTTTCTGGAGTCTATACATTGTGCAGACCCAGAAAATGGGACTAATTGCGTCCTTAGTTTGCATGTTGCGCAGACGCAGCACTTTAAATGATGACTCTTGTGCAGCCTCCCAGGTGTCTTCTGACTATCCATCTTTGACACTTTCTCCAAGAACCAGATCTGATGAACTAGGTGGAATAATCTCATCCATCCATCTGTTGCATTTCTATCCTACCATATTCTCTCTGAGAGCTTAAGATGACTGGTATAAGGACCAGCCTCTCCACTCTTCATAAAATAAGGATAGACTCTAGAAAACTTTGTATTCAAAAGGAATCTTTTTACTGAAGGGAGGTAAAAGCAAGTCAAAATTCAAAACAGGATCTGAAGTCCCTCAGGGCACGCAACTAGGATAAAGGGGATTAGAAACCCCTCCCAACAGTCAGATGTAGATTCCACCAATCCACAGGTGTGAAGATGTTATTATACCATCCTCCCTGAGAAAGCAGATAAGGTAGGTTTCCCAGGACTATTTCCTAGCGCTGGAATCCACATGGGCCCTTCTCTCCTTTCATCTCCCCAAGAGGTGAGAATTTTCCAGACATCTGGGGCACCAGGCAACGGTTATAAATCGTGAAAAAGTTATACAAAAGACACTGTAAGAAATAGGATATTTAGGATACAGAGAGAGGAAAAGAATTAAATGTATCAAATCCAACACACACACCCCTTTCTTCCATTGAAGAATGGCAGATACACGGATCTGACAAGTGGTCTCAACGTTGCTCTCTGGGATCAGTGATGAAATGAAGACGTAGCTGGCTCTTGATCCTCATGGATATTGCTTAAGCTACAAAAATAATTCTAATAAAATATATCTAAACACCAACGGGATGGATCGTCTTGTTATATTATGGCCACAATTCCTTATAATAGTGTGATTGTTCACAGCTATTATGTTGCACAAGTCATTTACAACACTATTATGTTATAGGGTGTTCAAATAGAATTACAGAACATTCATGAATGAAAGCAAATACACTGCTCAAAAAAATAAAGGGAACACAAAAATAAAACATCCTAGATCTGAATGAATGACATATTCTTATTAAATACTTTGTTCATTACATAGTTGAATGTGCTGACAACAAAATCACACAAAAATTACCAATGGAAATCAAATGTAGCAACCCATGGAGGTCTGGATTTGGAGTTACACTCAAAATTAAAGTGGAAAAAAACACTACAGGCTGATACAACTTTGATGTAATGTCCTTAAAACAAGTCAAAATGAGGCTCAGTAGTATGTGTGGCCTCCAAGTGCCTGTATGACCTCCCTGCAACGCCTGGGCATGCTCCTGATGAGGTGGCGGATGGTCTCCTGAGGGATCTCCTCCCACACCTGGACTAAAGCATCCCCCAACTCCTGGACAGTCTGTGGTGTAACGTGGCGTTGGTGGATGGAGTGAGACATGATGTCCCAGATGTGTTCAATTGGATTCAGGTCTGGGGAAAGGGCGGGCCAGTCCATAGCATCAATGCCTTCGTCTTGCAGGAACTGCTGACACACTCCAGCCACATGAGGTCTAGCATTGTCGTGCATTAGGAGGAACCCAGGGCCAACCGCACCAGCATATGGTCTCACAAGGGGTCTGAGGATCTCATCTCGGTACCTAATGGCAGTCAGGCTACCTCTGGCGAGCACATGGAGGGCTATGCGGCCCCCTAAAGAAATGCCACCCCACACCATTACTGACCCACTGCCAAACTGGTCATGCTGGAGGATGTTGCAGGCAGCAGAACATTCTCCACGGCATCTCCAGACCCTGTCACGTCTGTCACATGTGCTCAGTGTGAACCTGCTTTCATCTGTGAATAGCACAGGGCGCCAGTGGTGAATTTGCCAATCTTGGTGTTCTCTGGCAAATGCCAAACGTCCTGCACGGTGTTGGGCTACAAGCACAACCCCCACCTGTGGACGTCGGGCCCTCATACCACCCTCATGCAGTCAGTTTCTGACCGTTTGAGCAGCCACATGCACATTTGTGGCCCGCTGGAGGTCATTTTGCAGGGCTCTGGCAGTGCTCCTCCTGTCCCTCCTTGCACAAAGGCGGAGGTAGCGGTCCTGATGCTGGGTTGTTGCCCTCCTACCGCCTCCTCTACGTCTCCTGATGTACTGACCTGTCTCCTGGTAGCGCCTCCATGCTCTGGACACTACGCTGACAGACACAGCAAACCTTCTTGCCACAGCTCGCATTGATGTGCCATCCTGGATGAGCTGCACTACCTGAGCCACTTGTGTGGGTTGTAGACTCCGTCTCATGCTACCACTAGAATGAAAGCACCGCCAGCATTCAAAAGTGACCAAACCATCAGCCAGAAAGCATAGGAACTGAGAAGTGGTCTGTGGTCACCACCTGCAGAACCACTCCTTTATTGGGGATGTCTTGCTACCTGCCTATGCTTTCCACCTGTTGTCTATTCCATTTGCACAACAGCATGTGAAATTGATTGTCAATCAGTGTTGCTACCTAAGTGGACAGTTTGATTTCACAGAAGTGTGATTGACTTGGAGCTACATTGTGTTGTTTAAGTGCTCCCTTTATTTTTTTGAGCAGTGTATATGTGTCCGAGGATAATGTTGCAAGATCCAATCTGGGTCAGTCACCAGGACTGAGTCATCCAGTCACCCAGAGGTTTAGACCTCTGAGCTTTCAGGCTCATATTGGAACCCATCCTCAGCGAAGTTCTCTCTAGCACAGAGATCTCCAAACTTGGCAACTTTGAGACTTGTGGGAGTTGAAATCCACAAGTCTTAAAGTCATCAAGTTTGAGGACCCCTGCTCCAGCAGAATGTCTTCTTTGGGCTATTCTACGCATGGTGTTTATGGGGTGCCTGGTTGGGTGTGTCTTTGTATTGGTTGATTGAGTGTTGATAGCTGGCCATTAAATGGTTGGTTGTTGTTTCCTTGTGCAGCTGAGCCCTTGGCTCCTAAGTACCTGATAAGTAGGTGGCAAATCAGAACTCTCCTGCTGACTGACAAGAAGCCCATTTCCTAGACTTCAATGGAACATTGAACAATATATGTGTGATATCACATGCCTCAGTACCTCAGAATTAAATTGATGCCATTAGTCTAACATCCTTTAAAGCAGGAATAGCCACAACTCCAGAAGATACGCTGCAGAAGATCCAGAAGGATATTAACAGACTTGAACACTGGGCCATAACTAACAAAATGAAATTCAGTATAGAGAAAAGTAAAGTTTTACACTTAGGCGAGAAAAATCAAATGTACAGGTACAGATTAGGTGAAACCTGGCTCAATAGCAGAGACTTTGAAAAGAGTGCAGAAAAGAGCAACAAAGACCATGGTTAGGGGATTTGAGGTTAAAGCATATGAGGAATGGTTGCAGGAATTGGATATGTCTAGCCTAGTGAAAAGAAGGACTAAGGGTGAGATGATAGCGCTGTTCCAGTATTTGAGGGGCTGCCACAAAAGAAGAGGGGATCAAGCTATTTTCCAGAGTACCAGAGGCAAGACAAGAAACAATGGATGGAAACTAATCACAGCAGCCTAGAACTAAGGATAAATTTCCTAACCGTGAAAACAATTAACCAGTGGAACAGCTGGCCTTCAGAAAGTATGGGTACTCTATCACTGGAGACTTTTAAGAAGAGACCAGACAGCCATTTGACTGGAATGATCTAGAATCCCCTGCTTAAGTAGGGGGTTGGCCTAGAAGACCTCCAAGGTCCCTTCCAAGCCTGTTATTCTGTTCTGTTGTTTTTCTGAAAAAATATATTTTGCAAAGGGAGGAGTGCATGTGTGGCTAATATAAACAAAATATTTTAACCCAAAAATGGTTTGTGCATGTACTTATTGAAGAAGAAAAAGTTACTTCAAACTGTCCTTGCATTTTATAACTTTGTTGATATCACCTTGCATCTTATATACAAAATTGTATATAATTATAAAATTCTACAAGAGATTTATCCTATAATTTATTTGCTTTACAAGTAATTTGTTTTCACCTCTTCTTTGCTAAAAGAAAAAGAGAGAAAGTCCTTATCCTGAAATGTAGGTTTGACTTGACTGAATCTTGACTCCTGCTGATGTCATAAACAATTTCATAGTTTTCTTCACAGCCACAGAGAAGAGGTTCAGCGCCTTTTTTTAACCTCCCATCGTATTCAAACACTAATTGTGTCCTTATCTTACAGACAAAGTCTTTTCTAGCTTAAATTGATTTAACTTAGGTCTAAATTTAACTGATTCTCTCAGTAAGGAGAGTATTACTTGCTATTGCCACACAATTCCGTTTCCATTTAAGCACTTTCTGTCCCCTCCCATCATTGCAGATCCATCAAGCATGCAAACCCATCTGCAGAAAGTGCAAGCGTCACGTCACCGAAATGACAGGCCAGGTGGTCCAGGAAGGGACAAGGCGCTACAGACTTTGCAACGAGTGCCTCTCTGAAGCTGGGATCGACAGCATCCGCATTGATTTGGACACAGAACCGCCCCCGGAGTTTCCCCTGGAAGAGGACAAAGATTCCAACTGGAATTACAGCGAAGACAATAGATCTGATGTGGAGATTGTAGAGGACGGCTCATCTGATCTGGTTATCCAGCAAGTGGATGATAGCGACGATGAAGCCGAGGAAAAAGATGTAAAGCCCAATATCAGGTAGGTATGAAGGACTGATCCTGAATAGAGCCTCCCCCCTCCTCCTGTTACGTTATATCATTCCTTGTCTTGAGCGTTGACGTCCAGCCTGCCTGCCGGCCCAGGGTTCAAATGCACTCTGCTCTGAAGGCTTTCCCTGGCTTGGGGTCAACTGCATGCAGTGACGGACATGCCGTTATGTCTCTTCTGAATTTAACTACTCCCAAGTATCCCAAGCCTTCGTTTCAAGATAGCGTGATGTATGAACAATGATTTGCAAACGACAACCATTATAACTTTTGATAATATAAAATTGTCCTTTTAATCCTTTTACAAAATTGGAAGCCCTTCAAAATAAAAGTGAACAACTTCATAGTAATTCAGTTACTGAATTATTTTTTTTGCAAGTATTTAACTATAAACACCAAGATGAAAAGGTTTAGCAGTGTTTCAGCCACGGAGAGTAACCTCAGCCCTGTGTTTTCTTGTAAACACGGTCAGTAGATCCAAAGGAATGTAGTAAGTGGACAGCAATTCATAATCCTTCACCAAGCATGCACCTTCTCCAAACCATCGTTTGTTTATTAAAAACAGTTAAGTTTTCAAAACCAGTTTTTGATTCCCAAATCCGTTTTCGGTGAACCCTTTTGGCAGGCCTTGCAATTGGTAGAACAACTGACACTTTTCAACACACAGGTGGTAGTGCAGCTCATGAGACATGTGTTCACACATGTTCACTTCCTTGACCTTATGGAAATGTTACACTGCACCAACTTATGGGGTTGTGAAAGGTAATAACTTGTATTTTCTCATTTATCCCAATGCTCTTCGGTGACATACGTCATTACGATTACTTCACCTGAATTTACAGGATATGTTTTGCAGTTTCTTTTTTCCAGTTGTGCTTTTGTTTTTCTTTTGTTTTTCTTTTTCTCTCTGCCTTATTGAAGCAATTAAACAGAAAAAAAAACAGATGACCCTTAAGTGGAAGCAAAGAGATACTAAAAAGCTTAGCTTCATCTTGACAGTGATTGACAGTGGTTTTCAAAGTTTGTGAATCCTTTGAATGTTCAGTATTTCTGCATAATAGATTTAAAATGAGATCTGTTCTTTATACAAGTCTTAACACTAGAAAAAGACCATTCAATTAAACAAATCAATCAATCAAAAGCATTATATTTGTTCATTGAGGAAAACGATCTAAAGCTACCTACTTGTGTGTGGCAAAAGTACATGAAGCCTCAGGCAGGTCTCTCAACCTTAGCCAATTGAAGTTGTGAGGGTCCACTCCCAGAATTTACCCTGGTTGGGAAACCCAGCCCAGCTCACCTGAAGGGGAAATCAGAGTTGGGTATTTCAATCAGTGGGAAGAGGATGAGGTGTGAGGTCCATCCAACTTAACATAATTGATTAAATAAATAAAATATGTTTATGCAAATTTACTTATTTATATGCTGCCCACCCCCTTCTGCATATTCACTATTAAAGTCTGATCTTCACAACTCGTGAAGATGTGGAAGTATGTTGTACGGAGAATAGATCATGTTTTAAGTCATATCTCCTCACCTAATGTCTGTTTGAAGTTACCAGGGATGCCCAAAAGGTACTTGGAATTTTGAAGCTCTGACGGCTGCTCCTCTCCCCACCTTTGCAGTCACATAATCACATTTTGGCCTTTATAATTGTTTGCAGCACCCTGCAGCCACATGACCACAATTGTTGGTGTTTCCTTTGCCAGTTTGGCGGCATTTTCTTCTAGTTTTTTTTTTAAAGTCTATTGGATAAAATTGATTCATTTAACAATTGCAGCAGAAAGGGTTATGAAATGAGGCATGGTCACCCAATGACCCACTTAATGACCACAATGATTTATGACCATAAGTTGGGTCTCCAGTCACTTTTTCCAGTGCCATTGTAACTTTGAATGGTCACTCCACACAAGCAAAGTACCAGCAAAGGAGGGGGGGAAAAAACTCCAGAGAAGTTCCTGAGATAGGAAGTCTAGTCCTGCCAAGAATGTAATAAGGGTTAACGGAGAGGCAGTTTCTATAAGCAACACCAGAATGTTTCCTTCCTGCCTTCCTTACAGGATTAGCCCAGTAATTTCTTCTAACAACCGGTTCTCTGAACTGCTTAGAATGTTAACAACCAATTCTAGCGAATAGGTGTGAACTGATAGAATCCCACCCCTGCCTGTATGTAGAAATATTGAACATTCAAAAGGGTTCACACATTTTTAAGCCTCATTGTTTATTTTGGCACCTCAGGGCAAAGGATCTAACATTCCCCCCACTGTTTGTTATTGGGGGATCAGGGAGGTTCCTTTCTCCCAAACTGCTCTTTCCAACCTCCGTCTCTCGGCATCTGTTGCTGCTGCTGCTGCTCTGCCAGGATCATCCACTCCAGAGGAACTTAAAAGTTCGCAGCCAGCTGCCAGGAATGGACCTATTTTGAAAGCCCTGTTTTGGGATGGGTGGGTGTGCTAAACAAATGTACCTGGATCAGTGGTGGGATTCAATTTTTTTTACTACCGGTTCTGTGGGCATAGCAGGGGAAGGATACTGCAAAATCCCCCTTCCCTCCCCAGCCCACTAACCTGCTTTCCAGCTCCGTTCTCCTGTGCAGGGCAACCAAAGAAGACCCAGCCAATCCGCTGGGACTCAATCGGAGGCAGAGAAGAGATGTGGGCTGGGCCAGTCAGAGGTGAGATTTGCTGGTTCTTCGAACTATTCAAAATTTCCGCTACCGGTTCTCCAGAACTGGCCAGAACCTGCTGAATACTCACCTCTGACCTGGATCCTTCTGATTGAGCAACCCCTGGAATAGCAATTTTACTGGGGGAGGATACCCCGAGATCCTGATCTAGTTGCTATTTATTGTAAAACACACATGACTGGCAAAATACCTTTCGCTGACACAGGATGGCAAAACCCCACAAGTCCCCCAGGTCGGTGACATTTGTCAAGTGGGCAACTGCAGTGGAAGACTAGAGGAAACCACACCGTTGAGCCTCTTGGCTTCTACGACAGTCAAATATTTTGCAATACTGTTTGTTTATGCAAAGTGAACATATTTTGAATACATTTAAAATATTTACATCCCATCCTGGTGCCTGATTGTGACCGATCAAGGCAACCATTCCCCAGCTTAGATCCTTCCTATAAACCAGGGCTGTCAAACTCCCGGCCAGTGGGCCGAATGCGTCACGCATTGGCCACGCCCAAGCCTGGTTTAGCAAAGGGGGGGGGGAGTCCCGATACGTCATGTGACATCACCGTGACGTGAGTTTGACACCTCTGCTATAAAACGTTTCTCAATTTCAGAAAGCTTTAAGATGCGTGGACTTCAGTTCCCAGAATTCCTCAGTCAGCATGGGAATTCTGGAAGTCCACATATCTATGTTAAAGTTACCAAGCTTGAAAAACACTAATTGAGCATTTCCCAATTGTCGCAACTTGTAGACAAAGGTTTTCAACCTCCAGAATTCACAGCCACGAGGAGGCTGAGTCGCATCCTCTGGCTCTGGCAGTTGAAGAAGTACAGGTAGTCCTCCACTTATGATCACAGTTGCTAAGTGAGATATTTAAGTGAGTTTTGCCCCATTTTACGGTCTTTCTTGACGCAGTTTTTAAGTGAATCTCTGCAGTTGTCCAGGTAGTAGCGTGGTTGTTAAGTGGCTTCACCGCTGACTTTGTCAGAAGGTCGTAAAAGGGGATCGATGATCCCAGGACACTGCAAAGGCCATAAACATGTCAGTGACCAAGGGTCTGAGTTTTGATCATCTGACAATGGGAATGCTCCTACGGGTCAGCCTCGGAAGCCATTTTCCCCTTGGCGCTTCGAGGCCGCCACATTTTGTGCCTGGGAAAGTGGGAGGGGGGGTTGCAAGGAGCGGTGAAGGATTAGCCACAACCGCATCCCTTTCTCTGGGAGTCAAGGGCGATTGCCCTGCACCTGGAGGGGGGTCACTGCGGGGTAGTCTCCAGTTGGGACAGTCTCCATGATTGGACCATGGGATGGACTGGTGGGTGCAGGGGATGGATTTTTGACTCTCTTTTGGGTGGGGGGGAAACCCAGAACTCTCAGATTTGGGTTTTCCCAGATGTGCCAATACGGCATCTCTAATAAAATAGAACTTTGGGGAAATGCTAGCCTTCGAATCTTTGTTCTTGGAGGTTGTTACTTGGAACGCTGACACAATGGTCATAAGTGTGAAAAATTGTCATGTCACTTTTTTTCAGTGATGCAACTTTCAAGAGTCACTAAATGGACTGTTGTAAGTCAAGGACTACCTGTACCACATCTGAATGTATCAAAGTCACTTTAAAGATAGCTTGACGTAACTGGAGCTTAAATGAATTCATTTCTTATCATTATTTTGTTATGATGAGGCTTTCTGCTAAGCAGAAACTGTAGTAGGGAGCTAAAAGATTATTTACTATTTATTCGTTTTGTTCTGCTTTTATTTTTATAAGTAACTGAAGGTAGCGAACCTACCTAATGCTCCTTCCTCCTCCTATTTTCCCTACAACAATAACAAGTGTTAGGCTAAGAGATGGACTGGCCCAAAGTCCCCCAGCCAACTTTCATGCCTAAGGCAGGATTAGAACTCACCTTCTCCCGGTTTCTAGCCTGGTGCCTCAACATGTCATGCCTGTTGGGGAGTCTGAATCTGAGGAGGAAGCTGAACAGCTGACAGGGAGTGGGAGTGTGGCTCCATCAGCTGTGGAAAAAACCGGGCTGGGCAGAGTAGGGGGAGGGCAAAACAAGGGAGAGGGAATTCAGAGGAAGACCCAGGCCCACCCCCTCTTCATCCTAGGGCACGCAGGGAGGAACAGAGAAGAGGACATGGGGTGCGTGGCTTAGGGGGGAGGAAAGGGCCCTGATTCCCTTCATTAGCTGCAGCTGGGAACAGTGTATAAAAAAGATAAGCTGCCGATGGCAGGCTGTTGGGAGCAAACATGACTTTATCCTGTATTGTCATGGCTTATCTGTGTTCCTGGCATCTTCCCAACCGTGCCTTCAAGTCTGAAATTCTTGCTTCTGCCTTGTCAAACTAATTACTTCAGTTTGGCTTGTTTGGATTTTAAGTTACAGGTTGCGTTATTCATGTTTTGGAGGGACAAAGGCTGTTCCTGGGAGTTTTTTTCTCCAGCCAGAAGGTAACCTGGACATTGAGGGCAAAGTTGGAGATAATAAAGGGACTCTTCTTGCTTATCTGACTGTGTTGCCTTCATGCCACGCCCCTTTGGGTCATCAGAGAACCACGAGACAGTGGCTTATTACATTCAATCAGTCCACTCTTTGCATTGGTGGGACAAATGGATTCCTGCAACCTCCCTTGCCATCCATGGTACCCAGTTCATGGACTGTGGGTGCAGCTGACATGCAGAAATACACAATCCTGGTCATCAACAAGGAAACTCATTTCAGACCATTCACATACCTTTCAGCCACTAGTCTTACCTGTCTGGGAGCCCTCCTCCTGTGGTTGTTGGTATCGCCCAATCAAACCCAGAAGTGGAATCCCAGACAAGCCCCCCCCCCCCCACTGTCCCCAATTCGGGTCTGAGCCTGGTGCCAAAGCCAATGAAGAACACCAGATACATGGTGCAGATTTGTTTCCTTTTATTGAAGTGCTCCAAGAGGTCATGGCTAAAAATGCCAAGGAACCTGAACAATAGAATAAAGCAAGCTTTATACAATTTCACTAAAGTGGAAGGTGGGATAAATAAGAAATATAATCTAATACACATTTTAGTAAGGATCTAACAATTGTTCTATTGGTTTCTAGCTGTTCCTATTTCTAAACCTTGCTAATTAACGCTCCAGGAGTTATCTAATATACATTCTATTTGCTGCCGGCCAACCCTATTCCTAACTTCCAGCTGTGGTATGCAGGATATCTAACTTTTGTTACCATTATCAATTCTTTAACCACCCACATTCGATAACAAGTTTTGCAAAGGCATAGTCTCCCTGGATAAGCATTCTTTGGTCTTGCCAGACAGGCTCCACCATTTGCCTTTTTTTAACAGAAAGAATCCAGGCCTGGGAGCACCCGATCCCCAACCCCTTCCGATGGCTGGAATGGAAATGGGGTGGGGTACATGCAACTCAGTGACCAGCAGGGGCACAGCTGCTAAGTGTGTGACATCTCTTCTGCTAGCCTCCCCACCAGGCCAACCTTGACTCACAACCACAATTTATGTTGCTAAGCAAGACAGTTAAGTGAGTTGCACCTGATTTTGCAAGCTTTCTTTTGCATGGAGGAGCCTTCAAACGTCTGGAACAAAATCATCTGGGATGAGACCAAAATTGAACATTAGACCCAGCCAGACACAAACCCTTGCAGAGGAATCCACGGGGCTTGTGGAGACGCAGAACCATCCCTCCAGGAGGCGGCTCTCTGCTGCTCTGCAGTGGGGAGATTTGGCAGCAGTCCAAGTCGATGGCAAGAGGAACGCAGCCTCTGATCAGGAAATATTGGGAGGACAATGGGTGTTCGTCAGCTCTGAAGCTGCACACGGGGCCTACCTGGACTTCCCAACACGATAGACATCCCGCACACCTCCCAAAAAGGGCAAGATGACCCTGGATGGCTTATAGCAGGAGTCCTGGAATGCCTGTCAGTCTCATGACCTCAGACATGCAGCTCATGCTCGACAACCCAGTTCTGCACCACAGAGGGAGTCCGCAATATACATTGTTTACGTATTGTTTTACATGAAGACATTTCTGGGCCTCAGTAAGACTACCAGGCTCCGATTGTGGTTTAGACATTTGAGTGGTGGTCCTCGATTGACAACTACAACAGGGATTGGAATTTGTGTCGTAAGTTAATGTGGTTGTAAAGCAAGTCCTCAAATGATTGGACCCAATTTTATGACCACTTTTACTGCAGTTGAGAAGAGATCTCGCTTCCACAACTGACGCTGCTTGCCAGAAACTGGCTGGAAAGATGGCAAATCTCAACCGTGCAATCACATGGCCCTGGCGCAATGGTCCTAACTGTGAAGGTTCTTTTTCTGAGCCCATAACTTCAAGCTCTCATTAAATGAAGTGTCGTAAGTCAAGAACTCTCTGTATGACGCAACTTGCGTGTTCATATCTGGGGACTGCTTGTTTTACACCATGCCGTAAGATCTGCAACAGTGTGAATAACAGACCCTTTTTAACTTCTGATCCATGCAAACCACATAGCTAGAAGCAGTCATGGAGGTTATGAAAGAATTTATCAAGGAGAATAGAAGATGTAAGTTGTGCTTTCATGGCCACCTCATCACGGAGAGCATGGCTGGAGGAGGAGGGCTGCATTACAACCCCATCCTCCAAGGGTTTCTTATGGCTGTCAGTTTCCGCTATTCACGCCAGAGAATAAAGACAAAAAGCAAACCTTCTGCCAATGATCTGTAAAAACACGGCACGAACAGACCAGCAACAAACTTGCTTTTTGTCAGGGCTGCCGGCTGAGTGCCGCCCACGACCAATATAGCCACGACCACCTCCACCACACCCTGTAATTTACTTTCTCCAAGCAAGGAGAACACCGTTTGACAGATAATTAAACCCCACGCCTCAGCTGTTGGCCGTGCATGCGCAGCACATCCCACCCATCACCAATCTTCAGCAGCACATTGGTCATTACTGCTGCGAGGTTCCATCCGACTGTCCACCCGCCAGAATGGCAGCCCTGGGCTCGGGTAGGGCTGACTATGGCTACATGAGGGCTGGGTGGGAGGGGGAAGGAACCCAGTGTAATTGAATGGCTGCAATCAGTGCCAAAAGCAAATGGATATTCAACAACATATTCCCCAAGGGGGAAGTGGAGGAAATGGCAAAATTAAAATAAGAAAGTAATTAATCCCGGTTAATTTCCATGAAGGATCTTGTCATGGAATAGATAACAATTTCATCTCTGGCTTTCACGGCCAATTATCTTCTCAATGGCTGCTGCCTGAAACTGCACCCAGAGCTTTTTTCCTCCTGGCTTCTGGGCTCCTCCTGAGAACGATTCCTGTTGCTCCCAGGGCCAGATGCAGAGGAACCACCCAACAGAATGACCTTTGTTTAAATATCAATTATGACAAAAACCTCTGGTTTTCCTTCTTCGTAGACCTGCATGGCGGAATACGTGATCGCTTTGACTTCTCTCCCCTGAGATGAACAAGCAAAGAGAAAACAGTAAATAACTTGCTAATTCAACAAACCATGTTTAATCATGGCTTATTCAGGCAGAATTCAAACATCCTTGTCAAGAGCAGAGTTCAGAAATCAGATGTGACTATTTGAGCAGCAGCGTCCCTTTGCATTGGATCAGACTAAGAACAACTAAGGGAAGAGCCCTTTAGCCAAACCGGAGGCAGTGAGGGAACTTGTTCCTCCTAGTCAAGAGGAAAATAAATGCAGTTACTGAGTGTATAAATCATGCCAAGCCATACCACTAACTGGCTTGTAAGGCATGGGTTATTTAACTGTGGTTATGTGGAGCTAAACAAGTGTGGCTTATTCAGTAAATCATGGTTAAATGAGCTATGACTTAGGGTAATGTGTGAACCCAACCCCAGGAGAGCTTGCTTTTTTCCAAGTTGCCGTTTTCAGGGGAAGCTATTTGCAATTATTTGAGTCAGTGCCCTTTTAGCTGAAAGGTTGGAATGAACTTTATGTGGTGGATGTAAGTTATGAGCCTTTGATTGTTTTCCTGCAATGCAAAAGGACGCTCAATCAAACCAGATTTGACTCTGATTCACTAGTCCACAATAACCACATTCAAGCTTGTTAGAGCATACCTGGGGATGCTTCTGCAAAGAGAACTCTTCTCCCCACCTTGAAAATAAAGGAAAGCCATCATATAGATGATTACCAAAGAAAAAGAATTTTTTAAAAAGCCATCAACAAAGGAGAGGGAAGCCTCCTGGCTCATTTAAAGCTGTCCCCTATTTGTCCATGTGAATGGAGGGCCGGCACACACTTGTGGGACTGAATGAAGCTGTGCAAGCATGCCCCCCACTCACACAAAACCATCCCCTTTTCCCCCCCTCCCACTAACCCAGAAAAGTGGGGGAATGCGGATTTAAAGGCAGACAGATTTGATCCCAATGGCCTGCACTTCCTTTCCCAAAAGTTCATGAGAAATCACGGTGAACCAGGAACCTGGCAGAGAGATGACGCTTAGTAGCCATGTGGACTCTGCAGAATCTTCCACGAAAGTCACAAGAGTCTATAGATTTTAGAACTTCAACTCTTCTGGATAATTTAACTTACCCAATAGATCGTATCTTGAAGCGTATTCGGTCCATGTGAACCACTTTCACTTCCTATAAACAGGGAGGAATTTAACCTTAGTACGAAATCTATACACCCTCACAGGCTTCACACAGCTCCGGTAGCATGTCAGAGTACCAGGATTCTTAATCCAAGCAGAACGATTCCGCACTCTCTGCATACATCAAAGTGCACCTGAAGCGGTAACTTCGTAGAGCCTACAGATTGATATTCTAGTCTGCTCCAGCATCCTGAGTCTTTTTTTGCTTGTTGTCCTGGACAACAGTTAAATTTTCTGCCTACCTGCAGGAATCGGCAATTATGCGTACAAGTATGTAATCTAGTTAAGTTATAAAAATCTGATTCCCAAGTAGAACGCAACTAGTGGGACCTTAACAAAATACATTCCTGCTCCTCTAGATTTTCTCATTGACTATTTGCAGTCTTATGATTCTACCTCAGCCTCGTAAGAACGGATGAAGAGCCGGTATGTAAGATATCCCTATTTCTTAACATGAAAAAATAATAAATACTCACTCTGGGTATGAAAAACTCCTCGGCGCTGAATTTATAGAGCCACTCATCGAGGAAATGAAAGAGGAGAGAGAGCATATCATGCCCTATGGAAAAATATATTAGAAGCCTCAGGTGGATTTTCAAAGCAGAATTCCTCCTCCCTGCCCAAACCCACCCGATTCTCGCCTTAAACAGCTGGCAGGCAAAGGAGATGAAAGGGGATCTTTGTGTGTACTGGGAGGGCTCCTTATTTTCCTGCACATTCTTAGCTGAGTTAAAACAGTCTTTTTTTGCTTGTTGTCCTGGACAACAGAGTTAAATTTTCTGCCTACCTGCAGGAATCGGCAATTATGCGTACAAGTATTTTAAAATTTTGAAGAACTATTTTGATTGACACTGAATAAGCACGTTTGTCTTTAGCTACGTTTACTCAAGGTTAATCACTATTGTCTATGTAAATATGATAGCTTGACATTTTATGTTCCTGATGAATGGTTAAGAATTTATCCATATTGAGTCAAAGATCCAAAAAAATGTGATAATGTTCCTCAAACACTCTGGATCACATCAGGTTAAGTGAACAGTGGAAAAAGCTGTCTACCTTCTTCCTTCCTTCCAGGTTGCATTGTAGGTCACCCTGCAGGTGTGCACAAATGGAGGGAGGGGGGAACCAACTTGCCATTCAACTGCAGTTTGTTTTATGACAAGGCCAGAAAGCTGAAAACATCCCCCAAAGCTCTTTCATAACATGTGAGCACCAGTAAATTACCTCAATTTAAATGTACCTTTCTTTTAAATTCTTTAAAATGAAATTCTAGAATAGAGACGTGTTCCCCTCGTAGAAATGTGCCCACTGGGTTATGGAGCCTGGCACCAGTCTACCCCTCAGGAGGTGTGGCTGTTGTTATCAGAGAATCTCTAGTAGCCTCCAGGGTCACTGCTCCACAAGCGCCCGGCTGTGAGACCCTTTTTCTCAGGTTGGGCTCAAGGGATCAGGTGGGATTGCTGCTGCTATACCAACCTCCCTGCTGTGTGGCAGCTTCCCTACCTGGGCTCCTGGACCTCACCGCAGGGCTGGTGGTGAAATTTCCCAGGCTTATAGTTCTGGGGGATTTCAACTTGCCATCCCTGGGGTTGGGGTCAGAGGTAGGCCAAGATTTCATGGAAACCGGGACTTCCATGGGCCTGTCCCAGGTCATCCAGGGCCCAACTAGGAATAGTGGTCACACCCCGATTTGGTGTCCTTGTCGGAGCAGCGCCTGTGTGACCTGGAATTAGTGGACCTGTCCTTGGTTCCCTTGTCATGGTCAGATCACAGTCGGGTGGCAATGAGTTTCTCAAGAGCTACACCCCACCCCGGCGGGGCAGGATTGACTGAAGAAAAGTCAAGGAAGCCCTTTACAAAACAACTTTAATGACTGCGGTATATCAGACAAGATCTATATATATTTTGAATTTTTCATAAATCTTTCTCCCACCCACATGGCATAACAGACTAGAAGCCAATCTCTTTGGGGTGGAAATAATGTTTTCCATCGGCCTGCGTTTTGTGGTGGCCAGAGAAGGACTAAATGGTTGACCTTACTTCAGATGTTTTCCTTGGGATCATTTGAGAAATGTCTCAATACACAATAAAAGCAGATCCGTATATTTAATCAATCATTCATGCACTGACAGATCTGAGAGGTCCTGGGTGCTCTCTGTGCTTGCTCTTTTCTTGCAGATGTTTCATTAACCAAACTAGGTAACATCATCAGTGCTGGTAAGAATTGGGGTTTGCTGTCATTTTATATTCTGGTGTCTTGCCTGTCTGTGTGGATGTGGGTGGGTAGGGGCGGTCTTAAGAGATTATTTGGTTGGGCTGTTTACTGGTGGCTGTTTCTTTGGCAATTGGGGTCTTGTTTACTTGATTTTTAGTCTGAAGTTAACCTTGGAGTTAAACTATGCCAAGGGTGTCAAACTCGTGGCCTGCAGGCCAGATGCATCACGTGCTGGCCATGCCCACCCCCGGTTTAATGAAGGGGAGAAAAAGTTGTGATTCATCATGCAACGACAATGTGACAACATGAGTCTGACACCCCTGATTTATGCTGGTCTGGTTGGCAATTACTGGTGGAGAGGTGCTGGAATCTTTTTCTCTCTCTTTTTCGGCTGGTTGACTGACAGGTCTTCATCTAATACCTTGCTCTTTAAAACCACTCACGTAATTCAAGGCAGTCTTCTTAAAAGTTGTTCCTGCCTGTGGAGGTTGTGAGCAAAAACTTCTGGGGAAATGCCCAATTAGAACAGCCAGGCTCCAACAGCGCTTTCTTACCTTCCGCTTTCACCTCTACGGTGTCAACAGGTGCAACAGTCTCCGTGTCTGTCATGTACCCAAACATGGCCATAGCACATTGTTCAAATGCCTCTTCCAAGGAATCGCCCCAAGCGTGCAACCTACAAGTTAATCAGAATTAATTCTGCTTGGTAGGGTGGGCCTAGCATCAGAATAAAATACACAGATGAGGAATCTGAAGACCAGACTATCGGGAAGAACAGTTGACTTATAGGATAAATGGTAAATGCTTTATACGTTGAGATCTCCAATAGAAAATAAATAGATGCCCTTTTAATTCTGTGGCTTCTATTCAATGTGCTCAACAATGACCTCTACAATAACTTTCCCCTTAGAGAAACCGTTGTCCCCACCCACTCTTCTTCCCAGTCTGCAGATGAATTATGTAGTCTTCCAACAAGTACAAAACCATATTAGCTAGAAGCTTTGGGGGAAGACGTGTATCTTAGGGAGATAAACTCCTGTTTTGCAGATAGTGAGTTCATATTTGGTTCCTCCCCTTTACAAATAGAATTGGAGACTGGAGAAAGTTCCAGCCTGGAGAATGATTTTCAGTTGAATCCCAAGCATAATTTCTGTAAGCCATAATTTCCTGACAACCCAGTCACAAATTTCCTAAATTATAAAAGACTCAATTTAATTAATTTAATGGACTCAAATTAAGAGTCTCTTAAATTGATTAAATCTCATTAAACATACCAAATCAAGATAAAATTTTATGGTTTAACACGGGAACTTGGACAATGTATGGAGCAAGACGAATAAGTAGTTTAACATGGTACAACACTTTGTAGACAGATTTAAAATGCTAGTCTAGCATATCCAGAGCCCAATAAGGCTAGAGTTACTAAGGAGGGATTATGACATGAAAAACCTCTTTCCGGAAGACTAGAGAAAGAATGGGCATAACTTAGCCCTCCCTCCTTCCATTTATTAGAGTACATGCTTGAATAAAAATACTCACTGCACATCAGCCGTATGATCCAGATCTAAAGGTGGTTTAAAAAGAACACATACAATCCATTAATTAAAATCAAGGTGAGATCCACAGAAACCACAATCAAGCCTCAACCTCAAGAATTTTGATTTGCTAATGGAAATGTAATCCTCTCAAATTCAACATTTCAGCAACATTTTTGGGAAACAGAAACCTATTGATTTAGCAATGCTAAAAAGCAGAGGTCTCCAAACTTGGCCACTTTTAAGACTGGTGGACTTCAACTCCAAGAATCCCAAACTGCTCCTCCTGCATGGATGGCCAATGAGGAGTCAAACAATCTTTGCCTTGTTTCAATTCCTTAATTGTACTAAGTTGCTTCTTCACGCTTTGTTTTCCATTGGTCTTTGCTCAATGATGGTTTTTAGCAGAGGTCTCCAAACTTGGTCGCTTTAAGACTGGTAGACTTCGACTCCCAGAACCCCAAACTTGGCCACTTTAAGATGGGTGGACTTCAACTCCCAGTACCCCAAACTTGGCCACTTTAAGAAATATAAAGACAGGGAGATTGTGGTCCTGAAACAAGTACCCAGGAGAGAGATGAGAAGAGAATACCAATTTCTGACTAAAATTCTACTTAAAAAAGAGGTGAATTATAGATGGCTGATTCCAGAAGGTTTAACGTTCACATGGCAAGAACAGAGGCATAGAATTGATTCAATTGAGAAAGCTGAATTATTTTATACAGAATATTTTGGAGGGAAAGACAGAAAAAGAAATGTCACTAATTGAATTCCAAGAGGACTGCCAAATAGCGACTGAAAAAGAAGGTGCAGTAGGCGGAAAGGTGGAAGTTAAAGAGCAACGTGAACTAAGATCTACGAGAGCTGCTAAACCTACCTATAAAATATAACCATGGAAGAGAAAAAACTGATTACAATTAACATGAATGGACTTAACTCAGCTGTTAAAAGAAGGAAAACTTTCCATAAATTAGAGAAATTAAAATGTGATATACCCTGCCTACAAGAAGTACATATTAAAAAGCAACATGAACAACTGTTGATACAGCCAAAATTAGGGAAAATATTTACTTCTTTGACATAATGCAAGAAAAGAGGAGTGGTGTTATACATTAAAGATATTATCCCAGCGAAATTGATCTATACCGATGACGATGGAAGATTACTAATGGTGGAAATAATGGACAATAATATGAAAACACTCCTGATTGCAATCTATGCCCCGAATGACAAGAAGAATTTTATAGAAAACTACATATGAAAATAATCGAACTGGACTATGCTAATATAGTTATGATGGGAGATTTTAATGGAATTGTAGACAATAAATTGGACTATACAGCACAGAAAACAATAAAGCAAAACAGAAAGATTCTCCCTAAATCTTTTTTTACAATGATAGATGAAATAAATTTAAAAGATACATGGAGAGAAAGAAATGCTAAGACAAAACAATACACCTTCTATTCAAACAGACATTTATCATGGTCCAGAATAGATATGATATGGATGTCAACAGAATTGTTAGCTAATATCCAAGAAATAAATATTGAAACAAGTACTTGGGCAGATCACAATCCAATGACAATTAAATGGAAAGGACAAAGAAAAAGATCTAGATGGACGTTAAATAATACTATATTAAAGGAAAAAGACTTCAAACAGAGGATGGAGAAAGAACTGGCCTTTTTCTTTAGAGAAAATAAAAAAGAAGACACATCAATGCAGAACGTATGGGATACAATGAAGGAATATGCCACAGGCTTGATAATAGACTATACAAGGAAAAGAAATACCACGAAAAGACTAGCCTCTAAGACATTAGAGGATGAGTATAAAGGACTTGAAAAACAGCTACAGAAAATGCCACAGAAAAAGAACATTAAGTTAAAAATGGATATAATTAAACATAAAATGGGACTAATGGAAAAAGAAGAACTAGCACAGAAAATCAGAGGTGCGAAACAGAACTATTTTGAAGATGCAAATAAACCAGGTAGATGGTTAGCATATAAATTGAGAAAGGAGAAAGAATCAAGGAAAATATTGCAATTAATAGATGATCAAGGCCAAGTTTGCTATGGAAGTAAAGAGAAGAAGGAAATTATACGAAACAATTACGAGAAACTATATACACAAGATAATATTGACAAAGAAAGAGTACTTACAGAATGCTAATCTACCCCAGATACCTAAAGAGATTGAAACAATGTTAGAAAGCAATAAAAGGGTGGAGTTAACTGAAGCACTTAAGAAGCAAAACAATAGAAAGGCACCAGGCCCAGATGGACTTCCGGCAGAATTTTACAAAACACTACAAGAATCGTTGAACCTTCCATTGCTAGAAGTTATGAATGAAGTTATGTTAAAGAAGAAGATACCAAAATCATGGTTAGAAGCTTATATTACACTTATCCCAAAAGAGGAGGCCGATCCGTTACAAATCAAGAACTGTAGACCTATCTCCTTACTAAACGCAGATTATAAAATTTTTGCTTCAATATTGGCAGAAAGACTTAAAAAATACCTAAATAATTTTATCCACCCTGATCAAAATGGATTTCTGCCAAAGAGACAAATTAAAGACAATGAGAGTAATCTTGGACACTTTGGAATATTACGAGGCACACCCTGAAAAACAAATGGCTTTGATATTTTTAGATGCACATAAGGCATTTGATAATGTGAATTGGCGATTCATGTTACTACAGTTGGAACAGATGGGCTTTGGTAAAAAAATTATCCAAGCAATAGAAGCTATATATCATAAGCCAACGATAAAGGTAATGATAAGAGGGAGAACTGACAGACTCTATTGAAATAAGAAAAGGAACAAGACAAGGGTGCCCACTGTCACCTTTTTTGTTTGTGTTAACCTTGGAAGTGTTAAACAGAAATATTAGAGAAGAAAAGGATATAAAAGGGATGAAAATTAAAAAAGAAGAATTTAAGTTTCAAGCATCCGCAGATGATCTGGTTTTAATTTTAGAAGACCAACTAGAAACAGCATCAAAACTGATAGAAAAGATAGAGACATATGGAAAGGTGGCTGGTTTGAAAATAAATAAAGATAAAACAAAGATTTTGACAAAGAATATGCTATTAAGACAAAAGGAAGAACTGGCGGATCTATTGAAAATCCAGGTCACGAATAAGATCAAGTACTTGGGGATACATTTGACAGCAAGATGTAGTATACTAAAAGAGAATAACTATATTAAACTTAAGCAGCAATAGCGTTAGATTTGGCGAAATGGGAAAATTTACAACTGTCATTAATAGGGAGAATATCAACAATCAAGATGAATATATTACCCAGAATTTTATATTTGTTCCAAACAATTCCAGTTAGGCTTGGAAAAGATTATTTTGAAGATTTAAATAAAATTTGTTGAAATATATATGGCAAGGTAAGATAGCGAGAATAAAGTTAAAACTTTTGCAAGATGCCAGAATAAGAGGAGGATTTGGTTTGCCTAATTGGGAGTTGTATTACCAAGCTACAAATTTGATGTGGGTTAAGGACTGGATAACATTAAGAAATACTAGATTGTTGACATTAGAAGGACATGATTTATTGTTGGGGTGGCATGCTTTTCTATGGTATAAAGGAACTAAAACACAGGGGTATTTTCGAAGACATTATATATGGGAGTCTCTGTAGTTAAACTGGGAGAAGACGAAAAGGCAATGTTATTTGAAAATTCCAGTCTGGTTATCGACTATTGAAGCATTTTCCTGTCCTATAATATATAAAAAGGAACAAACAGTTAGATATGGTGAAATATTGAATGAAAAGGGTAAACTTAAATCTATGCAAAAATTAGAGGAACAAGGTATAAAGATGAATTGGTTTTCATATGCACAAATTCAAGGTATGACAAAGATTCTAAAGCAGAAGGTTTCTATGATAAACTGACTGATTTAGGTAAAACTTTGACAGGTACTGATGAAAAGGTGATTAAAAAATTGTATGGATATTTATTAGAAATTAAACTAGAAGAACAAGTTAAAGAAACTATGATTGCTTGGGGGAAGAATTTTGGATATGGGATTGATCTAGAGAAATGGCAAAAATTGTGGTCTCTAAATTAAAAAATGACAATGTCAACAGCATATAAAGAAAATTTGTATAAGATGTTTTATAGGTGGCATTCCCCCCCCACAAGAATAGCAAGAATGTTCAAGAACAAATCCGAAAAATGTTGGAAATGTCATCAGATACCTGGCTCATATTACTATAAGTGGTGGACTTGTGCGGATGCCAAAAAATATTGGACTAAAATCCACACATGGTTGGAAAAAAATGACAAAAAAGCATATAGACTTGAAACCAGAGATATTATTATTGAGAATTTTACCTGAAATATATAGTAAAGAATTGAAATATCCGATTGTAAATGTATTAACAGCGGCTAGGATTGTACTTGCCAAAAACTGGAAAAATGAGAAAACACCATCACAGGAGGAAATTATTAAGAAAATATTGGAATGTGCTGAAATGAGTAGATTGACATTTGAAATCAGATGATAAACAATTTTATAAAATTTGGGATCTATTCTATCAATGGTTAGACAATAAAACATGGTAATTAAATATGTAGATCTTTAGAAAATAATAAGTATATAAAGATGTATTTTTTTCTTATTATATCTACAAAATGATTGTAGGATAGATTTGAGACGATAATATGAACTGTCATAAAACAAATTAAGTAAAATATGGATTATCTTGTAAAACATGAATAATAGTATAGTCAAATGATTAATATTAATGTATTTAATATTTGATTGACAATATGAGAAACATATACAATGTAATTGTAATTGAAGCCTACGAAATGGAAGCACAAAACAATCTGTAAACCAACCGACACACTGTATGTATATATATGGAAGATGGCTTGATGTTTTTATGTTTTGTTTGTCTATGTTTGTCTTAAAAAACAATAAAACTAAAAAAAAAAAAAGACGGGTGGACTTCTACTCTCAGAGCTGGCTGGAGAATTCTGGGAGTTGAAGTCCCCCCGTCTTCAAGCGGCCAAGTTTGGTGGCCTCTGCTCAAAGCCACCGTTGAGCAAAGACCAATGGAAAACAAAGCAAACCCTCCCCAAGGATTATTCAAGTGCGAAGAAGCAACTGATTACGATGAAGGAACTGAAACGAGGCGAAGACCGCCTGACTCCTCGCTGGCCGTCCACGCAGCAGCAGCAGCAGCAGCTCCTGCATCTGGGTCCCCCGGGCGGAGGAGGCCTGGCGCCAGGGGAGGCGAGGCCGCTGAACTTTCCCCGCAGCTCGCGCCTTCGCCCATGGCAGGGAGCCGAAACCCGGGCAGGACTCACATTCGTACTTCTTCAGGATGGCCGGGTATTTGGCTTTGACCCCTTGCTGCGCTTCGGTCAGGTCGTAGTCCCGCTCGTCGTCCGCCATGGGGCCGGGCTGCTCTGCTCCGAGGCGCCCGCAGAGGCTCCCTCGGCGCTGGGTTGGGGGCTGGCCAGTGGACGGGGGGGGGTTTCCTACCCCAAGCTCCTCATCCAAGCCCCGGCAGATCCGATCCCGCCTCACGGCGACACTCTCGGCCCCGCTCTCCCTTTTGCCTCCTCCAAAGCAGCTTCCCCGGCCGGATTTCTGCCCGACCACCTATCCCGGCAGGGGGAAAGGCCCGGCCTCCTCCGAGCGAAGGGCAGAGAGGGACGGGCCGCGGGGAAGCGCAGCCCAGCCCGGACGAAAATGGCGGCCGACGCGCTGAGGGAGGAGGGGGGGAGGAGGAGGGAGCGGCAGGGAGCTGGCGCGCGCGTGGCCTTTCCTGCCCCGCCCCCCTCCCGCCATTCCCGCGCTCGTGATTCGCGGAGGAGGCCGCGGCGGTGAGGGTCTGCGATTGGCTGCCTTTGGCGCGAACGCGTCGCGCGCGGCTGAGGCTCTGAGGCGACGGGCGAACGAGGGGGGGGGGGCGTCCGCAAAGGAACCGGCGGCGGCCTCGCCAAACGATAAGAGGCGTGCCCAGGCAGTCAGCCGTTGGAAACCGGGAGCCGCGCCGCCGCGCGCGCCCCTTCGACGAGTCGCCATCATGGCGGATAAGGAAGGTAGGCGAGCCGCGCTCTCCCGAGGGGAGGACTCCGCCGGAACAGGCCCCGCTCCCGCACTCCCTTCCCGCCCTGGCGGGGAGCCCCTCAGCCAATCCCGGCGCCTGTCCGTCTGGCCCCGCCCCGTATCCCCGGCGCCGCCCAATAGGGTGCGCCCCGCGCGCTGGGCCCGCCCGCTCTGACTCTTTCCCCCGCGGCGGTGTCCGCGCTTCTGGGTCTCGCGGTGGCGGCAGCGGCGGCTGCAAGTGCGCCGGGATGAGACGGGCTGGGCTGCCCGATGGCTCAGGTAGGGGCCGGCGGGAATCTCGGGGCTGGCTCGGGCGGGCGGGCGGGCGGGCTCCCCGACTGTTTTCCCTGTTTCCTGGAAGGGGGGGGCGGTTTGGCGCTCCGCCACCCCCCATTTCCCCGGCAATGTAACCCCACGCCGCCCTCAGCAGCAGCGCCGGATCGCCGCCCTCCGGGGGGACAACGCTCGTGCCGCGGCTGCCCGGGAGCCGACCGTCGGGCGCGGGAGGGTTACGAGGCCGTACGTGGGGGCCGCTGGGCCTTCCTCCGGCCCGGCCTTTCTGGGCGGCGCAGCCCCGTGGCTCCTGCGGGCCGGGGCGGGGGGGGGGTGTCCCTCTCGGCTGCTCTGGCAGCGGGAAGCGCCGTGAGCCGGTCTCGCTCTTCCGCGCGGTTTGGTTGCTTTCCTTGAGACGAAGCAGACCAGGAAGAAGCGTCGCCGCTTGGTAGCCGAGATGGAGGCCTCAGCCCGGCCTCTTTGTTGTGCTGCACGCCAGAATCCGGTTGTCTTTTGGAGGAGAAATGACAGTCTGATCCCCCTCTTGTTGCGTTCCGTCTTCTGAAAAAAGATTGCCGGCAGACTTGGAACTTTAACATTGATGTTGTGTAAAATAATTTCTGACCACAGAGAAAAAAATGATGTGCTCCTCTGCATACGGGTGATAATTATCCTGTCTACGTTAACGGTCACATAAGTATAGGATTGCAGGTTTAATTAACTAGATTTTTTGCATTTTGCAGGTTGTGAGTATATATCAATACTTCTATGATGTATAAAAAGTATTTTCCTCTCTTATCTCATTCTGAATAGTTTGCTTTACTAATAATTTGTTTTCATGCAACTATAAAATTAATTCGATTGCATTGTTGATGTTATATTTTAGCTGCCTTTGATGATGCAGTGGAGGAACGGGTTATCAATGAAGAATATAAAATATGGAAAAAGAATACCCCCTTTCTTTATGATCTTGTAATGACACATGCCTTAGAATGGCCCAGCTTGACTGCTCAGTGGCTTCCTGATGTAACCAGGTAATTTTCTAAGAATTACAGTTTAAGCATGTATAAATATTGAACACATTGAGACTTCTGAATAAACAGGCATTTAGCATAAATGTAACTTAAAGACCTTGCTCCTATTAACTCTAGGTACCAATAATCTTTGCATGTGTGCATGTGTTTCTTGCAGTCTGCTTGCTCCCTCCCTTAGCATAAAATTATAAAAGTGTTTAGTTTTCTAGTCCTCTTTACCAGATGCTCACGCACAGTGCATTAAGTTCTAAAGGAATTAAGTTCTAACATGTATATTGAGGGTAAGATTTAAATGTATAGAGTAGTCCTCACCATACTTTTAATTTTCTTTGGCAACTGTTTTTATTAACCTATAATAAACAAGGGTGAAACGTAAACACCTATTTTAAATCAGAATAAATCTTGTTCCACAAGTTTTGCTAAACCATTATGTAGTGTTTGGGCAAAACAAAATCTAAAATGTACTGTTGCAGAAAAATTAACTCAGTCCTGGGAAAATAATAGTCAAATCTTGAAGGTAGGAATAGCCAAGAAACAGGAATCACGTGGAGTCTTGGGACAGGCTTTCCTATAATTACAATGTACCAGGAAGCTATCAAAGCCCCTCTCTAATTCATCTTAATGCTAAACCAATGAAGTTGGGACTTGAATTTATTTCTCTCATTCTTGGGACTCACATACCTTTACTGTAATGCCTTGGCCTTCTCAGAGTTAAGCCATATTCTATTGTACAGCTCTTTCCTGTGTGGAATGGTACTTTGGCTCAAAATAATTTCGCAAACAGATTTTTCTGCAAGCAGATTCTGCTTTTATTTCCTCCTCTACCCAGTGGAGCCATAGTGTAGCTGTAGCAGAAGAAATCTTGGTGGTCTTTCCCCCCCTCCTCCCAAAAAAGTCTGCCTTGTTTTTCAAAATGTACGAAATAGCCAGAGCTTTTGGCTCTTTCTTCATTTTCTTAGCAAAATATTCTTATTACTTATGGATGCATTAAGTGTTCAAAGGATGTTTTTTCTTTGTAGTGTTCACTGACTCTATTTAATCAGTCTAGCTTTTCTTTTTTTCTTTTAAGTTCAACCCAATCTCATTTTTTAATGGCATTACAGACCTGAAGGCAAAGATTTCAGTATTCACCGGCTAGTTCTTGGGACCCATACTTCCGATGAGCAAAATCACCTTGTGATAGCCAGTGTTCAGCTCCCCAATGACGATGCCCAGTTTGATGCCTCACATTATGATAGTGAAAAGGGAGGTAAGAGAAAAAATTAAGTTTTTAGTTGTGGGTTTAGACCTCTTGTTTAAAACATGGCTTGTGCAATTGCATCTTTTGTGTACTTTTTAGCAGTAGCTGATTCCTTGTTTTGGTTTTATTGACTAAAAGGTTTTAAATCAATCAGTTATGTATGTATTAGGTGCATAATGAGCTGATAGAAAATATTAGTATTGTAACATTAAATATGAAATGTCAGGATTTTGACTTCTTTATGGTAAATCAAAGGAAAGCTTTTAATGGCACATTTGTTTGAAAACACTTTAAGAATCAGCAATAGCATTTTAGGATGCTGCATTGTATTATTGCATTAGCTGTTATATTTTATATTTCTTTTCTCAATTCATATCCTCTGATGAGCAACAAAGTCGAGCTTATAAACCTTATCTTTTATTTCCAGAATTTGGCGGCTTTGGATCTGTGAGTGGAAAAATTGAAATTGAAATAAAGATCAACCATGAAGGAGAAGTGAATAGAGCCCGTTACATGCCTCAGAATCCTTGCATTATTGCTACAAAAACTCCATCCAGTGATGTTCTTGTATTTGATTATACCAAACATCCGTCTAAACCAGGTTTCTGCCGATTTGCATGTCTTTCATCTGTTTAGAAATATAGTCTTAATGTTATAATAGGCCAAATAATTACTATTTGAAAATAAACATGTATGCATTCTGGCATTGAAAAACGTATGGTAGTGGTTAGGATTTTGAGTAACAGTTTAATTATGTGGTTCAACTAGACCAGGGGATGTCAAACTCAAGGCCTGCGGGCCAAATCCGGCTCATGGGATGCTTAGATCTTGCCTGCGGGGCTGCCCTGGAAACAGTGGACAACCAGCCAGTGGTGCCTCTGGCAGGAGGCTTTCGCAGCCAAAATCGGAACTTGGGAAGGCAGCCCGCGGCCCTCACAAGCTCCGTTTTCACTGGCAGGGGTTTTTTGGAGGCTTTTGCAGCCAAAAACGGAACTTGGGGAAGGCGGCCCACGGCCCTCACAAGCTCTGTTTTCACTGGTGGGGTTGCAGGAGACCATCGCAACCAGAAACAGACCTTGGGATCCTGTTTTCGCTGGCAGAGTGCTTGGGTCACCACAGGTGCCTCCGACATGAGACGTTGAGCTGGCCAAGCCCCCCCAACTCTGATGCAGTCCCCAATGAAATCGAGTTTGATACCCGTGAACTAGACAGTCAAGTTTTCTTTCTTTTTTTAAGTTTTCTTTGTTTTATTAGTATAATATATAAAAATTCCATTTCAATCAAATGTCTGGGTACAATTATTTTTAGGCAATCATAAAGTGTTTGTAATAACGTATCACAATAACATTAATACTGTACTAACAATATTTTGTTTGTCCATTTTAACAAATTTCCATTTTAACATTTATCCTGTCCCTTTCTAACTTCTGTTTTTATTGTCTAGCCATTGATAAAATAAGTCCCATGTCAAAAAGTAGTTTCTTTTTTGTCCTTAATAGTAAGCATTAGTGTCTCCATTCTGCACATTCTAATATTTTCTTAATTATCTTCTCATCAGTTGGGATCTCATCACACTTCGATTGTTGAGCATATACAATTCTAGCTGCAGTTAGTACATATAAAATCAAGTATATAATCTAACATATTTTTCTGGTAGAATGCCCAATAAAAATATCTCTGGTTTCATATCTAAATGTTTCATCATTTTTTCCAACCAAGTATGTGGACATGTCCACCACATATGGTAATATGAACCAGATGTTTGATTACATTTCCAACTTTTAGTATATCTATCCTTATACATTTTTGCTAATCTTGTTGGTGCAAAATGCCATCTGTAAAACATTTTATACAAATTTTCTTTATATGCAGTTGACATAGTTTAACATTTCTATCCCACATTTTTCTTAATTTTGTTTCAGGTTGGTATTAAAGCTAACACCTTTTCACAGAAGTTACATGCTTGCTATTTGCAATTCCCTAGTGTTAAATGTTTTAAAAA